GTATGGGTTTCCATCTTCAAACAGTTACAACGATAGTATAATTGCGAGCTTGTCATTCAGTTAATCTCTATTACTCGTGGTATAAAAATATAATAGTGGCGATAAACACATTTAATGGTTATCCATTACAAAAATCTATCATATTGTATCCCAATTATGGACTACACGACTCACTGGTGAGTGAATGTGGATCAAAAATAAAAGGTGTCTGCCCCCAGAGTGCCCACTGCCCTGATGGCAAAGCACAAGGAAACCTGAGTCTGACCTCTTAGACGAGAAAAAGGCAGATTGCTTCAACATCTGCTATCAGTATCAGGATAAACCCTCAGGAGATTATTTTGGTCTGATAGTTTCAGATAGCACAGACAGCACTAAAGTTGGTAAACAGGTATTTCTTATAAGGTAACATTTTGTGTTGTTACACTTAATACTAGTTTTGGTTTATTGAAACCTGTTCGGAACATTGCATTCAATTTCAAGTCCAATTTGAAAAAGAGATGTTGTTTTTAAAGTTTCCCACACAATGAATGAGTGCTGCATTAAACTTCGACGAAGTGTAATGCAAATTGCCACAAAAACTATTTTGGACTCTTAAATGTCAGCTGTTTAACTTTCGATGCACGGTCAACTCACTCAAAGTTCAATTTAGCCTCACATGGCCCAATGTACCCTTTGGGAAAACCAGCTGGAAATAAAGTTAAAGCTGGGGGGAGGATCTTTTACTTGTAATTGAACGTCCGTTGCATTCAAGCCGCTGCCAAATGGGTTCATATAATGCTGAATAAGCACACCGCTGCCAGGAAAAGCTCTCTGCATTTCATCGTATAAAGGTGTTATATATTCCAGAAACTTAGCTTTCGCCTTACAGCTAGCTGCTACTCTGTCGCTATCATCTCTCCCATATGGTAATTACTTTTTTCCTGCTAGAGGGGGGAGAGAAAAGTTAGGAGACAACGAAAAGGCATCCTAGGAAACAACAAAACGCTGTGCTCCGGTCTAATTCTCTGACTCTGTCCCAGTCGAGGTTATTGATTATTTTCACCTCAAAGGCTCAGAGTGATTTTTGGGGGGTTTTGTTCCTTTAATACCTCGAACCACCTTGAACATAAATCACATCTTCAAACAGGTTGTAAACTGTTCTCGTAGTTTGTTGTTTCCACTGCAGTATGGTACCTGCTCATGTGGGGGTGAACGAAACTCTTTGGTCTTCTTGGCAGTGACGGCGGCGGACATTTCGAACGCCAGCATCAGCTCGTTGTAGCGGAACTTCTGGTTGTACTGGAGCTTGGACACGAAGTCGTCTGAGAAGGACACGATGGACTCGATGCGGTGCTTCAGCTCACAGTCACAGAAGTAGTGCAGCAGCTCGCACATCTGAAAAGGAGACGTTATTCAGCGAGGATGGCAATCTAGAGTACATCGAGAAGTTCCAGTGTCTCTTTCTAACTGTCTCTGAAACGGTTGATGTACTTTTTTAAACAGGATCTTCATATAAACTGACTTTTTTCTGTTAAACAGGAAGAAAACTCACATATTATTGAATCTCCAAGAAATTATCTGCGCCCATTTTCATAATGCACAGAATAAAGCTTTGGACTCTTTGTCATTGATAGGAGCATTAGTATTCAAGCACTGCCTTCCTGTAGCACTCACGCAGTCACTTCTCTGGGAGATATAACTCATAAAGCCACTGGATTCCTTATAAAAGAGGAATAAGTGAAGCAACTAAGATGGGGGGGGATTTCAATCGAATGAAGTCTTAGAATATGAATTGATGGACTTATGGTTATATGTAACGATGTCCAATTGAATGGCTGAAATGTGTTGTGCATGTTTTCACTCTGTTTATCATCACCTGGCGTTTGACGGGCTCGGGCAGAGACTTCGCCAGCAGACCTTTGATGAGCGGTTTGCTGTCTTTAGTCTCGTCCTCTCCCGCCTCCACAGCCTTCTCCTCGTTCTTGCTCACTTCCTCTTTCTTCCCCGCCACGGCCACCTCGTCCCCCTTGGCGTCCTCGCCCTCCTTGGCCTCTCCGAACACGTTGGGAGCGATCAGGAGGAGGATGATCCTCACCTCCTCGCTGGTCAGGACTCCCATGGTTAACAGCGTTCCTGTCAGCTTCAGGATGGGGACGAACTGGTACTCCACGCTGCCGCCCACCGGGTCCCGGATGTGCGTTCCTCCGCCCTGCACGGCCTCCGTGAGCATGCTGATGGCCTTCTCCTTCAGGCTGCCCAGAGGGATCTCCGGGCTGTACAGGTACTGCTGGCGCCTCGTGTTGATGATGCCGACGGGCGAGAAGTTAACTCGAGGTTTGAGAGAGGTGCTCAGGTCCACGCCGGGCAGCGAGTGCCGCTTGGACTCGTCAGGGAACAGTTTGATGGAGCGAGTCTCCGCGGTCACAGGGATGATGAACTCGTTGTTCATCATTAGGCGAGCCTCCTTTGCCGTTTCAAGATGGATGCTGGCAACGAGAAAAATAACGAGTTCAATCATCATACACATCTGGAGGCATAGGCCGTTATGCTTATCAGGAAATAACCATTTAGTATTGTAGTTCTAACAATAAGCTCCCTAAGTGGTATAAATGTGCAATTACTAAGATTTGTATAGCCCCACAGCACAGAATTACCATAATGCTTCTGTGGGAGGTGACAGGGCTGTTGATCAATACCAGTAAGTCACTAATTATGTGACAAAATGCAGAGACACCGAGTTCACAAACACAATGTGGTTCATAATAACAGTTTTGAAAACAAAACTCTCCAGCCACGGGGATGTTAACACCCTCTTTTAATGATGTTTGTTTGGTGATAATGGAAGAAAGCACTTTGTCTTGAAAGTAGCAAGGGACATTTATAATGTAGGATTTATACTAATTATGTGCATCTGCGGTTCAGCTGAGAATTGACTGTGACATTATGTGAGGAAATGAGAGGCGGGATTATACATGATGACATCGAGGTATAATTGAGATTAATTTTGAATAATTTATTTTGTGGTCTTGTGTGCAGCTCAGACACATTTTAGTAAAGTGTGCTGGAGTTGATGTTGTGATAATTCATAGTACTAGCATCGTTCATCATTTACGGTATATCTCTTATTAATACAAATATTTCAAGCGATTTCTTCTCTTATTGTTTAAATGCAGACAAAACTATTTAATTTCCCAAACTGCAGGAAAAATGATTATAATGTTATATTTAAAACAACTGCAAACACCACACCTGATGAGGACATTGTAGAAGCCCTCCCTCAGCATGCCAGACAGGTACTGGTTGTCGATGGTGTAGAGGAGCTGTGATTGGTCCAAGTGGCTGCAGAGGGCGTGAGCAACGCGGGTGTTTCCCAGCGCACAGAGGGCACTGTACAGCTTCAGAGTGTGGTAGTGGAACTTTCTCAGGTCTTCAAGCTCCGATAACTCCAGGATGTCCAAACACCTGGAAGAAAGCAGGAAACGAATGGGTTAATGGAGAACTATTTATACTATTTAAACTGCATATTACCCAACACCAAGATGAATTCATGCCCAACATGGTGGCAAAGTGCTTGTAACTGCACCTACTAATCTAAAAGACTGAAGTTGTTTTATTATTTTACTTTTAGCATCAATATAATCACCAAATCAAAACCACATAACCTTTGAGACAGGGAACGTTCAGTACACAACCAGATCATGAAAGGAAAGCATTAAACACACTATACATTACTGAGTGACATAGGTGGGATTTCAAATCTGCAACTGACAACATGAGAGTTTATGGGAAATGTGCTCCTAATACTAACAACACAATGCCATTTGATTGAGGCAGAATGTATGTATTATTATAGTGTTTCAAAGTGTGATTATCAAGGTATTCAAAAACTGCATTTCATTATTAATGCCTTTCCAAAGTCCCCACCACTTTTCAGTTTCCTTTTCCTAGATAATGTAAGTACTTCATAACATTGTATATACAGCATCTGCAGCAGAAGAAGGTGTTTACAGCTTATGTTCTAAGGCAACATGGCATCCATGCTGCACACCTGTTCTCCTCAGGAATATGCACGGCCATCATCTCCAGCGGCTCCAGACACTGCACCACCCAGCCGTGCCTCTCGCTGACCCGAGCCGCCTCCACCCTGAGGAAGGTGTTCGGCATGCGGCTCCACAGCACGGCCACGATGGTCTGCACATCCAGGCGCGGCGGGCACTGCGGCACCGGGTTCCTGCTCTCGCTCTTAAATATGGCAGACGAGAGCGGCATGGCATCCTGGGAGCAGAGGGAGAAGACGGAAATCATATACGGGGACAATATTTTATAAAAGGTAAACAATGTTAACGAATGAATGGAACAGGTGCTTTTGGATACACACCTTGATCTTGACAAATTCAAACTGGAAGAGGTTTGCACTGGTGGGGCGTACGAACACAGCTGGGAACAGCTTGGTGTTTGGCTCCACCTGAAACAAAACAAAGCTCAGTCATTAACATCAGAGTTTTAATCATTTCGATTCATGGGATTTATCAAGACATTGAATTGAAACAAAGTCAGCTCTGAAGGCAAGTTTCTTTATATAGCACCTTTCAACACGAGGCAATTCAAAGTGCTTTACAAAAATGAAAGACATTAAGAGCATTAAGAAACATATTATAAAATGATATCTAGAAACACTCATCTAAAAGCAAAGATAATAAAAGTTACAGTGCAGTTTAAGATATGAATATATCAATTAAAAGCAAAAAGAAAAGTCTTCAGCCTGGATTTCAAAGTAGTCAGAGTTGCAGCGGACCGGCAGGTTTCTGGGAGTTTGTTCCAGATATTTGGAGCATAATAACTGAACGCTGCTTCTCCATGTTTAGTTCTGACTCTGGGGACAGAAAGCTGACCAGTCCCTGAAGACCTGAGAGATCTGGATGGTTCATAATTTAGCAGGAGATCAGAAATGTATTTTGTGCCTAAACCATTCAAAGCTTTATAAACAGCAGCAGTATTTTGAAATCTATTCTTTGACACACAGGAAGCCAGTGTAAAGACTTCAGAACAGGAGAGATGTGATCCACTTTCTTAGTGTTGGTAAGGACTCGAGCAGCAGCGTTCTGAATCAGCTGCAGCTTTCTAATAGATGTTTTAGTGAGACCTGTGAAGACACCATTGCAGTAGTCCAGTCTACTGAAGATTAAAACATGGACAAGTTTTTCCAAATCCTGCTGTGACATTAGTCTTTTAATCCTAGATATGTTCTTTAGGTGATAGTAGGCTGATTTAGTAACTGTTTTAAAGTGACTGTTGAAGCTCAGCTCTGAAGTAACGTATAAGTGGAATCTACGCTCAGCATTGTGCTCCTTCTAGTGTCTGTCTGGTTTCAAATCCAACACATTTCACAAGGCTTTTTCGCCTCTAAGCTCAGGGCTTAGCTGGAGTTTTGAATGGAAGTTCAATAACTATCCATTGGTGAACTGATGACAGCCATTTACGACAAAAGAAAAATACAAAAGGAGCTAAAACAACTGAAAGCATAACAAGACGGAAAGCTTTGAATCAAGTTTAAGCCCCTGGAATCCCTCAGAAGGCTTCCTTCTTTTATATCTATTTGAAATTCATGAAGAAAGAAAAAAGACAATAACAGAGATTCAGAAGTGAAGAAAACTTGGGAGATAGATCTTCTAAAGGCATCATTTTGTCGTCTAGTCAGGTAATCGATTCCATTTGTTGAACTGGGAGATCAGCGAGGCGAGGCGAGGATTACTGAGCAGATGTCTCGCCTTATGGAGACTCTTGGATTGAAAACCAATGAGAATTTAATGGTGTATTTTCCTAACAGCCTTTCTGCAGGGCTAATTTACTGCAGTGCAAATGTGTTCAAATCACCCAAAGGGAAGAAAGAGGGGAGAGTGTTTGTTTTAAATGTGTGTGTGCAGGCGATACAATTATGTCTGATTGACAATGATTTTAAACAAAACACTCAAAAGTTCCCAATCTCCGAATATAATAGTGTTGAGAAGTAGTACGCAGAATTTTAACAACATTTAAATATGTTTTCTCCAGATTGAAAAGACAATTAAACAGCATGCCAACTCTTAGAAACACAGAGGAGAAAGACTGTATATTTACTACTGGAAAAATAATATTAAAGTGCACATACTGAATGATATAAGGTCCCCCATAAGACTGTGCTATCATCTTTAACTACCTGATATGATGTGGACAGCTCCTTGCCGTTGGCAGTGAAGGAGACGAGGCCAGTGGCCAGGTCGATCTGACAGCCGATCTCCAGGTCAGAGTTGGAGCGGCTGGAGGAGGACGGGTCGATGGCGTCCGCTCCACACACGATGTAGCAGTTACTCCTCTGCACACTGCAGCCACAACAGCAGGAGACACGCTTAGCAAGCACAAACCCATTTCAATATTACCAACCACAGGGCAACAAATGAAAAATAACTATTTTGTGCACATTATATTTTCATTATCCCACATTCATCACTCTGTGTTGACTTTCGTCCCATTCATATTCATTCTGTTACACACAGAGCTCTTTTCAGCTAAAGATACTGTGCCATTAAAAAGTCATATTTTAGATCAGTATTGCAACTTAGTTACAATCATAAATGTTTGTTAATCAACATTCATTTGCTATTTGACAGAGGTTATGAAATACTTTGGATGAAGTTAATGTCCAACATACTTGTGCCTTTTCTTGCAATAGCCAGAAGTGCATTCACTCACAACTATCGATATAACTATGACTCTCTTTCCGAACAAATTATGTTTAATCTTTTAAAAGTTATCATGCAACACAAAGCCCTACAGTATTATCATGGATCAACTTTATTAATTGTAAGTTGAATTTAGACTTAAAGGTGGGGTAGGTAAGAATGGAGAAACCAGCTCGAGTGCGCTAGAATTTGAAAATACACAACCGGAAACAATCTTCCACTTCCTTACAGAGCCCCTCCTCCAACACACACGAACGCGCACATGACCAATGAGGGCACGAGATAAGTTTGTACACAGATGGAAGGCTGACAGGCAGGTAGGCCATCCAGTTACTTTAGCCGGGCCGGCTCAGATGATTGGTCGTGCTTTTTACTGCGCCATGGCTTCCACAGATGATATTTCGCTATGTATTTATTGTCAAAGCATTTCATATATTCATTGCTATCGGGCTGTTAAGAGCATTCCATGGAATATAACAAAAAGTGTTTCTTCACCTTTAAAGGTGGGGTAGGTAAGTTTGAGAAACTGGCTCGAGATACACTTTTTGTTATATTCCATGGAATGCTCTTAACATCCCGATAGCAATGAATATCTGAAGTGCTTTCACAAAAAATCTGTGGAAGCCGTGGTACTGTAAAAAGCACGACCAATCATCTGAGCCGGCCCGGCTAAAATAACTGGATGGCCTACCTGCCTGTCAGCCTTCCGTCTGTGTTCCATCTGTGCACAAACTTATCTCGTGCCCTCATTGGTCATGTGCGTGTTCGTGTGTGTTGGAGGAGGGGCTCTGTAAGGAAGAGGCAGATTTGTTCTGCTGTGTATTTTCAAATTCTAGCGCACTCGAGCTGGTTTCTCCAAAATTACGTACCCCACCTTTGAGTATTATAGTAACATGTGAAGGGGGTTGTGTGTTGCAAATGACTGAAAAGGTATTGTCAAAAAAACACAAATGTAGTTTAAATGATTAATATCTAAAAAGAAAATTCACACAGGGTCCCTAAGGCCTCAGCACAGCAGAGGATTCAAACCGAAGCCACTTACTGCATGACCTTCCCTAAATTACTTTATGCTGGCACATATCTGGTATTCCTAGAAACTCCTTAATTTCCTTAGAGAACCCAGTAAAGCTGCTGACTTCCCATCTACATAACACTTTTACGATGTCCTATAAAATCCAGATATTCAAATAAAAGTGAGCTTGCCTCTCATGTACCCGCCCTCTCTCGTCTCCCAGGGTGACGGTGACTCTCCGCATCTTGTTGAGGCCGAAGTTCTTGCTATAGAAATGATAGTCTGGTGTGACCCAGCCCACCCAAATTGAGGCGGGGTCCTGTCCGGCAAACACTCTCACTGAGTGGTAGTACTGCCATTAAAAAAGAAAACACACAAATTACAAAGAGCAAAAAAAAAAGGGTAGTCATCAATAAACAATATTTCTAGACTTGTATTTTTGAGAATTGTATTTACAGTTGTGATGCTTCCAAAGTCAACAGTTCCATCTTCTTTTGGAAGATGGCTGAAAATAAACATATTTACAAGTTATAAGAACAACAAAGAGTATTTTGTATATTGCACTAAATCATCTAATTAATCAATCTGACATAAACATTTGTATATTTGTCAATGCTGTGACATTGACCTGAGTTTCAGAGAATCGTCCAGTATCTTGTCTGCAGAGTAGAAGTCCACAGGCATGCTCAGTCTGCAGTAGGTCATGTCACTGTTGCTGTTCTGCGTGCCGAACGTCTTGTGGGTGACCTTGAGGCAGGGAGGGCTGTCTACTGTCCCGTCGATCCTCGTCACCTGAGGAGTTATGAATCAGAGGGAGAGAGCGAATGAATCTCCAAAGAAGTGTGGATCTTCAATAGGTCCATCAACTCCAGCAGCACTGTTCAATATAGCCATGTTGGTATGCATAGAGAAAGTTAGAGAACTCTAGGCCGAAGTCTGGCCCTGTTTATAATGATTGCCCATTTCCAAGTGGTGACAGAGCATGCACTATACCCACAACAACCAGGGTTTAAAGGGGTCCTATTGTGGGGGGTTCCCCTTTCCTGTGGTGTGTTATATAGGTTTTTGTGCATGTAAAAGTTCTGCAAATGCTAAAATCCCAAAGTTCCCTCCAGAAGAACACCAATATCTGAATGAGAATCTCTGTTGCAACAAACAAAACAGGACACTCCTAACAATACTAATGTAAATGTGTAATCACCTCAATATGCTGGTGTTCTTTGGGTATGTTGACAAAGGTAGGAAGGCGCTTGCTGAACCACATGGTGATGGCTCTGTTCATGTTCACACCAAAGGGCTCGAAGCCCTCCTGGAGTCCACACATGGTGTAGTACTTGAAAGTGCTGGCGTCCTTTCCCAGGTTCATGTGTCCCACCTGTCCGATGCCCATACTGCACACAGGGATGAAACCTGGAGGAGAGTTAGGAGACATTGGTGGTCAAGTCAATATCGGTCTAAGTATGAAACATAATTCAGTCATGCTATCCCTTAAAAATAAAAGGTTCCTTTCTTTTACAAAGTTGGACACCTTTCTTTGCACATTTCATTAAAAAGTTAAATCAGACTTTTTTCCTACCCTGACTGATGTGATCCGTCTCCCTTCCCCTCAAGAATAACATTTAATTAGTCTGGTGTTTTATAAAACCTTGGAGAAAAATACCTCGGGAAAAAGTGGAATTGATCAAAGTGTCAAAAGACAACTGTTCAACTTTCCCTCATGCCCAACGCTGCTCAGAGGACTTACAGTCCAAGGCTCTCCTGCCAACAGCCTGAGGTCTCCCCCTTTCCTTTTGAGTCGTGCATAGGGAGGCTGTCCCTCACTGCCACCGACACAACCCCTAAACGTTATGCAGATGTGTGATGACATCTCAATCATATAAAAGAACATAAAGTATAGTGTCGTCTGGCAACTTTTTCGGCCAGTGCTAACTTCGTTCATTGATAACAAGTTGGCAACACCGCACATACAGTACTGCATACCACATACTGGCTTCTTGGCTTAAATTGAGCCTGCTAAGCAAAGAAAGTAGAAGAAGAAACATGTCTATTGCTACTTCAATAAATATATTTCAACTACTAACACTATTCTACAAGGATTTGGCCCTTAAAAAGCCTTTTGTAATATATATCAGTCATTTAAGCATAGTTTTTAAATTGTGCATAGAGTAGAATGCATCAGTGCATCAACCATAACAATTAGTTGAATTACCTTACTTTACTTCTCTCTGTCTTTTTCTAAAGGATGGTTGATTTAGTCATTGGCCAAAGCCACAATGGACATCATTAAATTCCAACATGATTAACATTTTCTGTTTAATGCCAAACAAACCCAGTCCTACCTCTAGAGATACTGCGGAGGAAACACAGACGGAATAACTGAATAATTTCCTCTCTAAAGTTCACTGGAATATGGAGCCCTCACCGTCCTCCGTCTCAAAGTCGGTGAAGCAGAGCTCAGAGCCCTTGCCGGTGATCAGGAGCTCTCCGTTCAGGGTGAAAATCATGGATTTGTCCTCCATGTTGATCATGCAACCGACCACGTCGCCCGTTTTCCAAGGTTGTCCAAAGTAGCGGCTTCCTGCGTGCATTCGACGACCCTTCAGAAAAAACGAGAAAGCTTTATGTTTTTGCAACGTATTTTATGACCTCGTCAAATATTGTAATCCAACAGATGCTACTGTAGCTGCCAAATATTAAGGTGTGACAGCTCAATTTAAGATTTTTTTCAATAGCAAAAGCAAAGATTACGATTTACAATGTATGTTTTTACACTGCACAATTACTTTCCCCCACAAAGGTTTAAGATGTGCCTCCAAACATACTGATTTATTATCAATATTTCACAATCCACAGAATTTAATTTTAATCAAAAGTGTTATTAAGTCCTTTAAAACTCAAATAACTTGTTACCAGGCCAGTCATCTTCCCTTATGAAGCTCAGCACAAGTTCAACCAGGAAGACCTTCTTACTCATTCATTTACTACGCTATGTTACTACTCTCTCTCCTCTCAATAAGTGATCGGGGGCGTCACTCCCCAGCTTAACCAATCACTTCGCTCTATTCTCACAAGCCTATCATAGCGCTCTGCTAACCCTTTTAAATCTGCTCTCCCCTCTGACAGCTGTCATTTCAGGTGACTCGACGCAACCCTCCTCCACCCCTTTTCCCCTCCTGTCCCTCTGAATCCAGGGTCAAGCTAAGCCCCTCCCCTTCAGACCGAACCCAACTATCCATTCACCACCACCAGCGTCTAGACCCCGGGGGGTTTCATCGGATCGGTTCTCCCCCTCCCGAATGATACTTCCTGCACAACGGGGCCTAATCGCCAAAACTCCATTACATTCATTTGTGTATTCCTGGCAATAAATATGTATTCTTACATCAAAACCGTCTCTCCTGATTGAAATATCACTGGTACAGCCGTATTAAAGCAATGATGGATAAATGATGGTTGCTGCTGAAGTTAAAAAGGTATAAAGTGTCCTATCAGAGCTCGTTTACCCTGTATCCATCGAACACGAAGGCCTGGTCGTCCGTCCCCAGCTCCACATCGGGCCTGCAGCCGGGTCTGGCCCAGCCCACCCTCATGTCTCCTCCACTCAGCGCCTCAAACTCAAAGTACCACTTCCCCGTCTTCAAGGCGTACGTCTGCTCCACACGGAAGAAGCGGATGGTCTCGATGTTCTGATCATCCAGCGTGTGGAGAGCTAGAGATGTGAGAGGCATGGAAATGTATACTTTTACTTTATTATTAGGTACATTAAATAAGAACTGACACAATATAAAGGATATGAAGCTTAATGGTATAGGCAGCACTGTCTTCAAAGAAATGACATAATATGTTGGCTGGACAAGATTGACCGTATATCTTTGTAACACTAATTAAAACCATTTCCATATTCGTTTTAATAAAAAAATGTTTTGCCAACTACGAATAGGCCTACTATGCTCCCGTTTGAGTTGACACTTGAGTTGCATGTTAAGTGCTTTTGGATTTGGAACTAATTATTCACATCAATACTGCTTAAAATGTTAGCTAAAACACAGTCGTGCTTACAGAAAACATTTGAACAACATTTTCTTACCCTCCTGGTCTGGGGGGTCGATGTCATATCCATATCCAACCATAGTCCTGATCGCCTCTCTCAAGCTGTCTCTGTTAGATTTCTTCGTGCGCTCGTCCAGTAAAGCGTACGGCACCAAGCGAGGATTGCGCCTGCTCTTTAAATCCTGAAACAAACAAGGAAAATATGTCAACACAATAGAGGAACCAAGCAAGAAGTATGTAAGGACAAACAAAGAACACAAATAAAAGTGTCTCCCACAGAAAATTCCTTTATTACTTTACTGTAATTTAAATACAAAGGTTCCGCCTTGTCCTTTTTAAATGTAAAGATGAATGACTGTTACCTGCTGGATGCCGTAGGTCCATCCTTGTTTAATTCTGTCTTTGGCCCACACGTTGTGTGCATTCTCGGCCAGTTTATCAACCAGAACCTCCTGACCTGCATTCAGTTTCACGTCAGAGAGGTCCTGTGGCGCAGGCTTATATCCGTTAGACATTATGTAGCTTTAGAGGAAAGACAAGAGTGCTTCAGCATTTCTTCTTCTTCATAAAATTATTATTAGTAATGTCAGTATCATAAAGTATTGCTAACTTACTCTTTGGGAAGTTTGACTTTCTTCAGATCGTCCTCAGCGTTCGCAAAAGCCTGAGCAACATGGCAGCCAAGAGCCAACAGGGTCCTGAGAGTAAAAGAGACAATTAAAACTAAAAGTATATAAACTGATGCAAATACTCAAGCCCCATTACACTGTTCGATGTTTCCTCCTGACACCAGCAGAATCCTGAGTGCTTCATTTGTTACACTGCTCATTAGCCATACAGTGAAATCCTTGTTGATCAATAGCTACACTATGCACGGCCGGATGTTGTTGTGAGGATAAATGGCAGATATTGAACATTTGACTCGGCTTTATTGAGCAGAGGGACACGTTTTGTTTTACAGTGAGATGAGTCAGAAGTTGGCTCAAATAAGCTTCCTTGAAGATCGATACTGGAATTCACTCAAGAGATGCAAGTCAATACAAGCACTGCTTTAATCTGGGCCTTAAACTGCTCCCGCGCTGCATTCAGCAAGGAGCAGAGGCTTTCCCATGAATAAACTAATTGGATTATTTAGCAAACTGCCCGGCCTTACTTAAGTGTTTCACTAGACATCTGCACGTTGTAGTTCCTTTCAGTTTCAGGCAGCTTTCCGAAATCAACAAGGCAAGGGTGCTGCCTCTTGTTGTCATCACGGACCTGAGGAGAAAGCAGTCATTACTGTATGCAGTATAAAATATCGCTATCGCTATCTCTCTCTCTCTTTCTCTATCAATCTCTCTCTCTCTCTCTCTTTCTCTATTAATCTCTCTCTCTATCCAGTGGTGTAATGGGGATTGTTTTTACTGGGTGGACGGGAGACACTATGGACGCGCTCGTGAACTGTCAACGGGGGGGGGGCTTGGGGGACCTCTGTGTCGCCTGTCAGCGCAACTTACATGATGCCGTTTAGACAATATAATAATAAAGGGCGGTGCCGGCTGTCAGCGAACCGATCCGGCCTTTCTGCGCGACTATCACTCAAATGCGCGACATAGTCTCAATGTGTGGGACGCGGGACAAATAATAAAAATGCTGTGTGTGCAGTCCCGCACAGTGCGGGACACCTGGTCACCCTACACACACGGTTCTGCCCCTCACACACACACGCTTCAAATCAAGTTGCATAAATGCTTGAGCTACGTTTTTATTATAATTACTGTGAAATCTACCTATTATGTTTTCGTCATTACTACAACAAACACACACTTGCAACTGATAACACTGGCAATGATTTTAGATATATTAGACTATTAAAAAAAAGAAATCATGCTTCAAATAAGTGGGGGTACGGCGTACCCCCGCGTCCAACGCCCACTACACCACTGACTGCAACTACAAAAAGCTAAGGTTTGTTTTCTCATCAGGGAATGCAGACCGGCTCAAACAAAAGATTTTAAAATCATCATCTTCACGATCATTTAATGTATCATATGTTCGCCGAATTGACATGAAAGCACTAATAAATGTAGTTTCATCCACTTGAGTTTACAATTACAAAATCGATTTGTTTTATATCACATCCGACGGAGGAAATTCAGCAGCTCTCACTACCGATTTGAATCCTA